ATCTGGCGATCCAGCCGGCTGATCCGGCTGATCTGGTGATCCTGGCTGATCTGGTGGTCTGGTGATCCGGCCGGCGATCTGGCTGCTCCGACTGGTCCATTGATTCGGCCGTTGACTGATGGCGAATCGGTATACTATCCGTCTGGCTGATCCGGTGATCCAGGTGATCCGGCTGATCCAACTGATCGGGTTGATCCCGTTGATCCGGTGGATCCGGCTGATCTAGCTGATGCGGCTGATCCGGAAGTCTGGTGATCTGGCCGGCTGATCCGTCTGATCCAGCCGTAGATCTGGCTGATCTGGCTGGTAACTCGGCCGGCTGATCTAACTGATCTGGTGAAACGGTGTGATCTGTCTGGATGATCCCGTGATCTGGCTGATCCGGCTGATCCGGATGATCCCGTTGACCGGCTGACTCGGCTGATCCGGCTGATCTGGTTGATCTGGCTGATCCATCTGATCCGGATGATCCTGATCCGGCTGATCTGGCTGATCTGGCTGATCTGGCGGTCCGGTGATCCAGCCGGCTAGCCATGATCCGAATGATCCGCCTGATCTGGCTGATTCGGCTGATGGTTGATCCGATTGATCCGGCTGATCCAACTGATCCGGCTGATCCGGCGGATCTGGCTGATTCGGCTGATCCGCGAGCAACTGATCCAGCTGATCGGGTGATCCTGCCGGCGTATCCGGCTGATCTGGCTGATTCGCCTGGCTTCTGGCTGATCGGGCTGATCCAGCTGATGTAGCTGATCCAATTGATCCGATTGATCTGGTTGATCTGGCTGATCCAGCTGATCCGGCCAACTGATGCGGCTGATCTGGCTGACCCGGCTGATATGGCTGATCCGGCCTTCAGATGACCCAGCTGGCTGATCCGAGTGATCCAGCTGATCCGGCTGATCTGGCTGATTTGGTTGATCGGCTTAATCCGGCTGATCCGGTGGAGTGGCTCCCTGATCCCGTGATCGGTGAATCCAACTTTTTCTGGCCCAAACAATCTCTATAGTCCGGATGCATGGAGGCCCCTCGCCTAGCGAACTCTCCCGAGAGGTCGTTGGCTCGCCACGCTCAGTCTGGGGAAAGTCTGTCGCAGTGAAAACAGAAGGCCAAACAACGGTGCAACTCTACGCCGCGGGAATGGAAAGTGCATCGAGAAATGTAAAATCAGATCGCTCGGTCACACGCGCCCGCAGCCTTGCAAAGGGGAAGCCACGAAGATCTTGGGAAGGCCCTCGAACCCACATCGGTGAAAGCCCTTTCGCCCAATGCATGTACAGACCGGAACGTTCGAGGAAGTTTCAGTGGGGGAAGCTCGACTCAGCAACTGTCGACGCCACCAGCGCCGTCGCCCTCCGTCTTCCCACGCATCCTCACGTCATGTTCCTCTAACGTGTCCTCCTCCTCCCTTCCTCCTTCCCTCTCCTATCGCCTTATGGTGCCATTTGGGTCATGTGGAATAAATCGTCGACCGCAAATATGGAGGAGCTACACGCATTGAACGCTTCACCAAACATATTTTAGCACATGCCTAACATCCCACTTCCTCCGCTTCCTCTCCGCCCGCCACCGCCAATTCTCATCATGATTGTTCTCCTCCCGCTCCTGCCTTTCCTCGTTCTCGATATCATTTCATCCTCCTGCACATCCTTTCGGCACACGCCCCTGAACATGGTGCCCACTTGCCTCTTTACACAAGTCATCCTCGCGCGGGGGCATGCCGAGAATCTCTCTGCTGTTTTTCGTTCCACCTACCACATCTTGCACAAATTGAAGACCAAACACTTTCCCCGTAGTGCTGTTTTTCAACGCCCGAGCGTTCTTCAATGCCGGGCGGTTTTTCAAGGCCAGCGTCCAAAGGCTGATACCGGGCCCCATCGGCCATAGCAAAAACTACCAAGGACGGACCAGCCGTTTCGGCAAGGGGTCGAGATGTCTCGGCACTCACGACGCCAGAAGTCTGGGTCCATCTCCATCAACCTGCAGCCGCTGCTGCAGCTGCTTAGTTCATTTCCCGATGTGGCTACTGGTCGTCGTCTTCCTCCTCCTGCTCCTCCCCGTCCCCTCCCAACCCTTCTTCCGTATCGACCTCCTTCCGCTTCTCATGCCGCTGCTGCAGTTGCTGCCGCTCCGCCTCCGCTGCCTCTCCTCGTCATATTGCTCCTCCTCCTCCTCCTCATCCTCCCGCCTCTCATCTTCCTCCCCCTCTCCGTCCGCCGCCTTGTCCCCCTCCTCTGGCTTTGGCTCTGGGCCGCACACAAGCAAGGAACAAAGGTCTCGGCCATTTCCCTGGGCGATTGTTTCGCCCCACTTTGGGGCCCAGGGACCAGGAAGCCGATACGGAAGAGAAGCGCGGCGATCGGTAAAGAACAACCCGCCGACCTACATCTGTGATCATGCATTCGCGGGCGCGGCCTGGATTCCAGGCACATCAGCCACGGCCTCGCAGCATGGCGGTGACAGCAGAGGCGACAGCAGCTGCTGAGTGGCCAGAGCGGGCCTCCAATGGGAGCGAGATGTAGCGCGCGCAGACGAAGAACCGGTAGGCCACGCCTCTTTGGGAGGGGGTGGATTCGTCGGTCATGATGGGAGCTGGGGAGCGGAGGAGGGTGAGGAGAAAGGGGAGCCAGAAAGGGGAAAAGGATGGAGGCAGGAGGGTCGAGGGAAGAGAGGGGGAGTGGGAGGGAGACCGAGGAGGGGTAGGAGTGACGAGAGCAGTAGGAGGTGCAGCAGAAGCAGAGAGAGAGAGGGGAAAGTGCACAACGAGGCACGTGCGACCTCTGCAGGCCTTCGGATCCAGAGGCCTCTAGAGTTAGGTCGGGCGTGTCCCCCTACAGGCGGATTTGGGATGCAAAATTACACATACTCACAAAAAAAGAGCATGCAACAAGTTTTCGAAAATACTAAAATAATGGTCCCTCGACTATTGTTTTACTATTTCCGAATATTCCTCCTGTGGAGGGACAGGCCCGACTTAACCCTGGGGACCTCCCCTGGATGCATCCGAGAGACGCGGGAGGGGCCGCGGCGCCGGGTTAGGCGAGCCAAGGCAGGCAGGCGAGCCTCGACCCCGCACGGGCGACGCCTGCTTTAGGTCGGGCATGTCCTCCTACAGGCGGATGTTGGACGACAGATAACAATACTTTACAACATACCCCAGCAATAATCAAAAAAAAATCGAACAATCGCCCCCAGGCTATGTTTAAACTGTGTCTGAATGAATTCCTCCTGTAGAGAGACAGGTCCGACTGAACGCTTGCTCGTTCGAAGTGGCCTCATCGCCCTCCTCCCGCCATCACTCCCCCTTCTCTATAGAGGGCAGGAGACCCACCCCGATAACAACCACTCCGACAAGCGAAGCCGTTTGGCGAGCGCGCCCAAGGAGGGAATCGGACAGGGTGGGGCTGTTTAGGAAACGCCCAAGGCCGTTCAGTAAACGTCAACTGTCGGGTCCGGATGGTCTTTCCCCTCTTGACAAGAAGAAGAAATAACAGAACACACAAAAACATAAGCATCAACTTTTGGCGCTCCGCGCGGATTTCTTGGATTCGCGCTGGACCCCCCTCCCTGGCGCGCGGAGCGCGCCAGGGGAAGCGCCGGAGGCGCCGCCGGGGTGCCCAGGCGCGGATCCAAGAAATCCGCGCGGAGCGCCAAAAGTTTATCTTTATGTGTTATTTTTCCTCTTCGATGGACTCCACCTCCCCGAAGACCTCCCCACCCCCTTCGGTGCTGCCCTCGTGCTGCACCCGCTGCCGCCAGAGCTCGGGCGGTCCGACCCGCCCGCGCGGTGCTCACGGCGGTCCGAGGGGCCGAGCTGCAGAAACAGGCAGCGCCATGCCATCCCCCTCCTCCTCCTCCTCCCCGTTCCTCCTCCCTATCCCTTGGAAGGCCCAGCTCCCTATTCCTCCTCCCTACTCCTCCCCATTCCTACTCCCTATTCCTCCTCCCTGATCCTCCTCCCTGATCCTCCCTATCCCTTGGAAGGCCCAGCTCCCTATTCCTCCTCCCTGCTCCTCCTCCCTACTCCTCCTCCCTATCCCTTCCCCCTCTCCTCAGCGTGCCCTCCTCCTCTCTATTCCTTGGAAGGCCCAATCGTACACACCCCAGGACGACGTGCCCCAAGCGGAGGTGTCGCAGCGGCCACTGTTCCAGCCCGCGGTGCGCGCCAACGCGCAGCCTTGTGGTGGCGTCCAGATGTGGGCCCAGAGGCCTCGCCTCAGGGGTGTCTTTGTTTGCAGCGGACCAATGGCGAGGAAGGGTTAACAATCGATAGCCAATCACGCTGTCCTGTGGGTGTGGCGTGCGTTCGGCCTCCCCTGAATTCCGCCGTGTCGTGACGACTTGTGCGCTGTCTCTGGCACCGCATGGATCGTTCAACCTTTAGCGTAGCGACTGTGGCGTGCGGATAATCAAGGCCCTTCAATACGTACTGGCCGAATTCAAGCCGCCAACGGCCTTCAACCTTGAACGCCCGCGCTGGTGTCGCCGCCGCGTCGACACGACACGAACTTGCTACCGTACTCCTGCTGCCCGCCATGCTCTGGAGATTCCCCGGTAACCTCCAGAGCAGCCCTCACTGATCCGCCCTGGAGTGTCAGTTCCAACCAGGGAACGACGAGGCGAGGGCTGTGATGAATGGGGGCAAGAAGGGCTATGCCCTGGAGGCTACTTTCGACGTGCCAATTTCTTCGCAACACGGACCCCCGAAGTCTCTGGCTCCCGGTCCACTCCCCGGGACCGGCCTTCCACCCATTACTCGAAGACGCTTCTTGACCGCCCCGGGGCTCAGCAAGGGCCCCAAGGGGCACAGACGGTGCCATACTTATACCCTCCATGAACCTGCTGTCCCTGGCGCCTGGGGGGGAGGGGGGCTCTGGGCTCTGGGCCTCGAAGTGGACTTCTGGACTTCCCCTGATTACAGGGCGCACCTTCGGCCAGAGTGTCGAGGCAGGTAATTACAGCCCGTGGCGACGAGGAGGCCCAGCAAGAAGGCCCCCAGAGGACCTCGAGTCCTTGATCCTCTCGAGTCCCCGTGCGCGGCCGGCGCGCCTGGTGGCATCCCGCTGACGCCCGACCACTGCACGCAGCTGGGCGGCGCCATGGGGTGCACCACGGTGACGCAGCCAGCCTCGCAGATGTCGCAGCCGTCGCCCTGTGGGGTGGAGCGCTCGCCACGGTCGGTCCACACGGCGACGACTTGCGGCGGCTCGGCGTCGCCGTCGACCTTGCCCGAGGCTGGCCTCTGCAAGCCCATCGACGGGCCCGTGGGGCCGTCGGAAGGCGATCCGGGTTAGGAGCTCGAGCGTCCGATGTCTCGATTCCTCCAATGCGGGTTCCCGTGAAGTTCCGAGCCGTCCCCCTGGGCCGGCTTTTCTAGAAGAGGAAAAACCTGAAACATAAACTTGTGGGCAAGTCGCCTTCGCGGCCTAAAGGCGCGCCGGCTCGGCTTGTGCGTTTAGTAAGCGAAATCTGGAACAGATCGTGTTCGAATTTGTCGTAGATCGCTGCAAGTTCATGTTGATAACCCTGGAGCTCTTTCTTTTCTCTGCACAAGCCCGAATGTCGCCAGACGCTCTCCCCTGCGTGAAACCCGGATGCCGCCACACACTCGCTCCTGGGTGAAACCACGATGCCGCCGCATACTCGCGGTGCCCGAAGCGGGAACCTTGCCCTAGCTTCAATAGGCTCTCGCCGTAACGGTTTGGACGGCCAGGCGGGGGGGAGGAGGAGAAGGAGGAAGGAGGGGGGCCGAAAAGACGGCAGGGAGGAGAGGGGAGGACGAGCGAGGCAGGTGATCCGCGCTCTGACGTTTCATTTCAACCGGCAGTTTCCTTGTCTCCTGTCCTGCTGTTCTCCGCTTTGCCTGCTCTGCTGATAACCCTGGAGCTCTGTAGAAATTGGCTGGTGCATGATGGCACACGGCACGAGGCACGCGAGCGACGTTTGCTTGCAGGCCCTGCAACTCTCTGAAGCAAGGGAGAAGAGGAAACAATGCCAAGCGCAAGGTGAGCATGCTCATGCAAAAGCAGTGAATACGTACTTTGCGTTCCACGGGCGCGCAACATGCGTGCCACCTACCGATGCTGGACCTAGGTGGCCCACCACGAATAAAAGCTAGATACACATGTGACACATGTCTAAATATGCTTCCCTGGCGTTCTCCCCCTCCCACCCTGTCTCTCTCCCTTTCACCTCGCTCGCCTACTGCTGCCGGCTCGGCTCGAGCAGATGTGAGACAATCTGGCCACTGGAGCGGTGGTCGGAAACGAAAAGGGCCCCATTTCAATCCCTGCTGGGATCCTCCGCCATCCCTGTTGCCGCTGCGAGCCGGGAAGTGGGCTACTGAAGGCAAGCCGGTTCCGCACCCACAAAGCGATAGATCTACCCACACTGCTCGAATGTCGCACCCATCATGGAAGTTACAACACATGAGAAGCGAAGGGTATTCAGCCGAATGGTTAATACATCGGGAGACAACTGTAGCATTCAGCTGCTATGTCTGATCCCCTCGCGTATCTGATACGGATTAAAATGCAGTGCTGCGTGCTGCGATAGGGGGTCTCGCTGTCGCCACGAAGCACATGCCCGTCACCGCGTCTGCGCGATAGTGGATGCAAAAATGTGTCTTATCTGGTGGGGTATCTGGAACGGTTGTTTCATGTAGCCTTTGCTATCGTCAAGCTAACCTTCCCGGGACTAAATCGAAAGCCCTGAGGCCTGACCGCGAGACCAGCTGCGAGCCAGCCCGGCGTCACCAGACCTGGCTGAGGCAGCCGACGGACTGCGTGACAAAGTTCCGCCTGACCTACTCGATCGCCTACCTGTTGACGAAAGGCTGCTCCGTGGCGATGCTCCGATCTCGCTCCTCGAGGACGCTCCGGCCGATGCACCGCGTGACAGGCTGCGCGCCTGCTTGGGTCCGCCGCTCTGCGACTCGATCCTTGGGGACGCTCCAGGCGCGACCCATATTATGTCCTCGGGCGTCCCCTGCTCGAGGTCATTTCGCGACACAGCCTCCAAGTCCTCTTCAGACTTCCGTTGCCAGCGACATAACAATTGAATGCAACAGCACAAAACAAGTATCGCGCCAACTATGATGCCCATAATGACAAAATCAATGCTCGCCGTTTTCTCCGTGTCGGCAAGGAGGCCCACTGCGAATGGCGTTGCCGTCGTTGATGTCGTCTGGGTGGCGGTGATTTCCATTATCGTGGGCTCTGCGTGCACGAGGACACTGGAATTTGACACGAGTGTCAGGCCCCGAGATGACATGGCGAGCTCCATGAGGCTATAAAACGTCTCAATCGACTCCAAGTTCTCTCCTGAGGTCGCGTTTACATGCTGATGCAGCTCTGTCGTTACGTCGTATGCCGAAAAGGCGGGAGATGCACTTGCAACTATCGTCCAATCGACCTGCCAATGCGTGACTGAGCTGGTGAGCTCCCGGTCCGACATGAGCCGTCGCGAGCTGTATGTGAAAAGCGAGGCAACACAGAACACAGCACTTTCGGGCACGCCCTTATGTGAAGCAAGTGCATTCACTGACGCACTTTCCACCTGCTCTTGAATGCCCGTGCTTTCGAACCACATAGATCCCGCAACAATGTACATCCGCGTAGTGGTGCTTGTCTGTGTCGTGACGGTGATAGTGGTAGTTGCACCGAGAGGGGTAGTGGTGGTGATAGTGGTGTCGGTGGGGGTGGTGGTCATTGTGACAGTGAATAGGGTCGTGGTGCTGGTCATGGTGGCAGTGGTCAATATCGTTATGGTGCTGGACAACGTAGTGCTGGTAGCGGTGCCCATGGACACAGTACTGGTGCTGGTCAACGTGGTGGTCAAGGTAGTGGTGCTGGTAGCAGTATGAGTGGACATGGTGCTGGTGCTGGTGATTGTGGCAGTTGTCAAGGTGCTGGTGCTGGTCAACGTGGTGGTCAAGGTAGTGGTGCTGGTAGCAGTATGAGTGGACATGGTGCTGGTGCTGGTGATTGTGGCAGTTGTCAAGGTGCTGGTGCTGGTCAACGTGGTGGTCAAGGTAGTGGTGCTGGTAGCAGTATGAGTGGACATGGTGCTGGTGCTGGTGATTGTGGCAGTTGTCAAGGTGCTGCTGCTGGTCGCGGTAGCAGTGGTCAAGGTGGTCGTGGTGGCAGTGGTCAAGGTGGTGCTGCTGGTCGTGGTGGCAGTGGTCAAGGTGGTGATGCTGGTCGTGGTGGCAGTGGTCGAGCTAGTAATGCTGGTCCTGGAGGTGAAGGTAGTGGTGTACACTGTAGTAGTAGTGCCGCTGGTCAGTGTGTCAGTGGTCAAAGTGGTGGTGATGCTGGTCATGGTGGCACTTGTCAGGGTGGTGCCGGTCATCGTGGCAGTGGACACGGTGGTGCTGCTGGTCAGCGTGGTAGTCAAGGTGGTGGTGCTGGTTGCAGTTCCAGTGGACATGGTGCTGCTCCCTGTTGTGCTGGTCTCAGTCATGCTGACAGTTGTCCTGGTTGCAGTAATCACCTTCATTTCTGGTGGTGTTACTTCGATCTCAGATCCCACTATTGCGAAGCCTTGCGAAAGGAAGACTGATTGAATACCTGATCCGAAATCATAAGCAACAACGCTATCATTAACAACCCGGCTTGCAAAATCGTATACGTTCGCCGCAGGAGCTTCAGGCGAGATGATCTCCCAATCGACGTTATACTGCGTGCCAGAACCATCAACGACATACCGGGCCAGGCTTGCAGAAGCGGTGACAGTCACAATGACATTATCTTCATCAACTTGGAAAACACTCGCTAAATGCGATGTTAACGTACGTGTAATATTGTCAACCGTCCCATTGCTTTGAAATGAGATGGCACTGGAGACAACGTAAAGGGGTGTGGTGGTAGATGTATGAGTGGTACTAGTGCTGGTCGCAGTGGTGCTGGTCGCAGTGGTGCTGGTTACACTGGTACTGGTGGCACTCAAGCTGGTGGCGGTACCAGTACTCTGGGTAGTGGTGCTGGTCATGGTAGCAGTGGTCAAGGTGGAGGTGCTGGTCATGGTGGCAGTGGTCAGGGTAGTGGTGCTGGTTGCAGTGATGCTTGTCAGGGTAGTGGTGCTAGTCATGGTGGCAGTGGTCAGGGTAGTGGTGCTGGTTGCAGTGATGCTTGTCAGGGTAGTGGTGCTAGTCATGGTGGCAGTGGTCAGGGTAGTGGTGCTGGTCGCAGTTAAGCTCGTCAGGGTAGTGGTGCTGGTCATGGTAGCAGTGGTCAAGGTGGAGGTGCTGGTCATGGTGGCAGTGGTCAGGGTAGTGGTGCTGGTTGCAGTGATGCTTGTCAGGGTAGTGGTGCTGTCATGGTGGCAGTGGTCAGGGTAGTGGTGCTGGTGCAGTGAGTCAGTGGTGCTAGTCATGTGGCAGTGGTCAGGGTAGTGGTGCTGGTTGCAGTGATGCTTGTCAGGGTAGTGGTGCTAGTCATGGTGGCAGTGGTCAGGGTAGTGGTGCTGGTCGCAGTGATGCTGTCAGGGTAGTGGTGCTAGTCATGGTAGCAGTGGTCAAGGTGGAGGTGCTGGTCATGGTGCAGTGGCAGGGTAGTGGTGCTGGTTGCAGTGATGCTTGTCAGGGTAGTGGTGCTAGTCATGGTGGCAGTGGTCAGGGTAGTGGTGCTGGTTGCAGTGATGCTTGTCAGGGTAGTGGTGCTAGTCATGGTGGCAGTGGTCAGGGTAGTGGTGCTGGTCGCAGTGATGCTTGTCAGTGTAGTGGTGCTAGTCATGGTAGCAGTGGTCAAGGTGGAGGTGCTGGTCATGGTGGCAGTGGTCAGGGTAGTGGTGCTGGTTGCAGTGATGCTTGTCAGGGTAGTGGTGCTAGTCATGGTGGCAGTGGTCAGGGTAGTGGTGCTGGTTGCAGTTGTGCTCGTCAGGGTAGTGGTGCTGGTCATAGTGGTAGTACTCGTCACGGTGGTGCTGGCAAGGAGCCTCCTGCCCTTCACAGATTTGGTAGCGATGCTAGTTATGGAAGCGATTGCCGGGGTGGTGTTGCTTATCATGGAAGTTGCGACGTGCATTTCACGTCCACCACCGCAAATACAGCAAGCTTCCACAGCCGAATGGCCCATGCTCCCCACATCCGAAGGATAGCCGATGTCGACATGGCGATTCAGGACCTGATCAGCAGATGTCGTGCACAAGTCCTCGTACTCGTCGCAAGGAAGCCCTCTACTATCGGTCCAATTTGCAGGATTGTTTGCACAACCCTGCCTCTCATGACAGCGCGCCTCACATGTCATCATCGCCATAAGCAATGCGGTGAACACCCCGCACACAGTGCAATGCAACTCATACGGATTGCATTGGCGCCCAGGGCCCATTGATATCTTGGGAGGCACCCTACGCGTTTCAAACTCAGGGCGATATATAGTCACTGAACACGGCTGCGCGGGCTTCAGCCACTGGCTTGAGCCAAAATATGGCTACGGACCAAGAAGCCAGCATTCTCGAAAAACCAGCTGAAACCAATGATTTTTGATTTCTCGCCGTTTCGCTTCTGATGGATTTTTGAGGTCTCCAGATGGCCCCCAAATGGCCCAAGAGATGCCCAAGGGGGGCCCAAGAGGCCCCCCGGACGGCCCTAAGAGCGCCCCGGAGCGGCCCAAGAGGGCCCCAAGAGGCGATGTTGATGGCCCCGGGGGGGGAGGAACGTTTGACCCCACACCACACCACTCTTTGATCGATGGCCTCGAAGATGGCCCCAAGATGCCCTCCAGGGCTCTCAAGGGGCCCCCAAGAGGGCTCCAAGAGGGCTCCAAGAGGGGTCCGAGAGGGCCCCAAGAGCCTCCAAAAGAGCCCCAGGAGGACCTCATGATCCCTTCAAAGAGTCCCCCAAAAAGCTCCAAGAGGCGATTTGTGGGCTCCGTCCTCATCCTCGCTGTCCTCCTGCTCGTCCTCGTCCTCGTCGGTGCCCTCATTATCTTCCTTCTCCTTTTCTTTTTCCTCATCGTCCTCATCGTGGCCGTCGTCCTTCTCGTCTTCTTCCTCCCTCCTCCTCCTCCTCCTCCTCCTTCCTCCTCCTCCTCCTCCTCCTCCTCCTCCTCCTCCTTCCCCTCGTCCCACTCCTCCTCGTCCTCCTCCTCCTCCTCCTCCTCCTCCTCCTCCTCCTCCTCCTCCTCCTCATCCGTCCCTCGCCCCCCATGCGGGCCCGAAGAGGCCCTCCAAGGCAATCCCCTTGCTCCCAGAGATCTCTCCGTTCACCCTGGCTGCCCGCTTCGTCCCTTGTTCCGTCAGCTTTCGTGGGCAGGGCTTCCAGATGGGCTGTGACATACGAGAAGCGTGGATTAGACGGCATCGCTTCAAAACTGGAGATGGACTTACTCGTCGCCTCCGGAAAACCATGCCATAAGCACGGGGACTGCTTACTGCGTGTTGCTCTCGCCCCTTCCATTGCTTCTGGAGGAACCCCTGTCGATCGACCCCCGCCGCCGCCCGGCCCCGGAAGACCACGGGAACGGCACATGCATGCGGCGGCGGCTGTTCCAACCGACGCCCGACCTGCTCGAGCTGCGAAGAGGCCCGCTCGCAGCATGGCCTGCACCCTGTGAGCAGCGAAAGACACGGGCACGCGGCGGACTTCGGAAACCCGGAGCCCAAACACGCTCCAAAACGTTCATCTCTTGGGAGGTCGACTTTTGCTCCGCTCCCGCCGCCTTCCGCCAGCCTTCCGCCGGCCTCCGCCGGCTTGAGCCGGTGGATGCGCCCTCGTTGTACTTCCGCCGCCTTCCGCCACCCTTCCGCCGCCTTCCGCCGCGGAAGAGATGACAACTCATTCGATCCTCGAAGGCAAGGGCCTCTTTGGAACGCCCCACGTGATGACACGAGGCGCACCGCCACCGAGTGAAGATACCGCCCGAATACGAATTGAACGAGGCAGTTCCAAATGCTCGAGGGCGGGGGCTGGGCCTCGGACACGGTTGGCGAGACAGAAACGCCGCACCTCTTCAGCATCTCGTTGGGCCCCCGCGGTGAAGCGTAGGGGGCGTTCAGGGCCTCTCGTTTGGGCCACTTCCCTGCAATCCTCAGGCTCGCCCCGTTTGCTTCAGTACAGCTCCCGCTGCCGCGCGCCCGAGTCGGAAGACGCCGCAGCAACCTCGGGGCTCGAAGAGCCGCGCCGCTTCTGCCCCCGGCTTCCAGGCCCTTCTCATCCTCCCCTCCCCTTTCGCCCGTTCATCTCCTCCCTCTGTTCCTTGTCATCCTCCTCCTCCTCCTCCCCCTTCCGCTCCTTCCCTCCTCTCCTGCTCCTCCACCCCTGCCCCGCCAACCTCCCAATCCACGTCCGCCAGCTTGCCATCCTCCTTCTCTTCCCCCTCCTCCTCCTCCTCCTCCTCCTCGGCCTCCCTCCTCCACACACCACGTCATGCCCAACCTCCTTTTCCTACTCCACGCCCTCATCCCAATTTCCCCCTCCTTCCCCAACTCTTTCCTGCAACGCCTTCCCCCACTCACATCCGTTCTCCCCTCTCTCCTCCTTATTATCCTCTTCATCTCGATGATCCTCCTCCTCCTCCTCCTTCTCCGGCATTTCCCCATATCCCCCATCTCGTCAGCCCCTTCCTCCTCCGCCCTCCCCTCACCCTCCACCAACACATCTTCCAAGATGTGTCCCTCTCTCGTTCGTCCTCCATCAATCATCTCTGGACCCCAACGGAATGGGTTCGTCCCCCAAGGGCTCGGACAAACAGTCCCCGACCCCCTGCCTGTGACCTGCAAGCTGTTCTCCCTTGCCCATCTTCCTTGCAGTTTCGTCCTTGCCGTCCTCCTCCCCCATTCCTCGTCCTCCCTACCACTCCGCCTCCTGCTCCGCCCTTTCCTCCCTTTCCCCATCCCTCGCCTGGGCGAGCAGGCCCTCTGCCACCGCAAAGATCTTGTACTCGAGCCGTTCCAGACCTTCCAGGGGGGCCCCACCCTGCCAGGAGAAGGAACGAGGGACACCAGGCTCCCGCTGCTCGCTTTGCGTCTCGCCCCTCCCCATCACCCCACGTGTCTAGCTCTTCGTCTTCCTCCTCCTCGTCCTCCTCCTTACCACCACCGCCGCCACCACTTCCACCGTCAACGTCACCGTCATCGACGTCGTCATCATCACCACCACGGCCTTCAGCATCACCAACAACATCATGATCATCAGCATCATCATCATTACCACCATATCTCGACGATCCCCCTCCTGCGTTCATAGCCCACGTTCCTCCTCCTAGTCCTCCTCCTCCGACTCCTCCTCCACTTCCTGTCCGTTCTTTGCCGTTCCCCTCAACACGGAGGGAAAGGGGCAGCAGGAACTTCGGAAAACAAGTAGGAAAAGGAGCACCATCATCCTAGTGCTGCTGGTCCCATCTACCCATCCCGTTCCTCCTCCTCCCCCTCCTCCTCCCCCTGTCCCCCCGTCGTTCCTCTGTATGGATCCTCCCTCTCTCCTCCTCTTTGACCCCCTCCGCTCGGCTGGAGGGCGGGAGAAGAGGGTATGAGGTGGAGTAGCACGCAGCAGGGGAAAAGGGAGGAGGAGGAGGAGAAGGAGAGGGAGAGAGGGGAGAGCAGGAGGAGGAGGAGGATGAGGAGGAGAATGAGCGCCCGCTTCTGATGTGCCGTGGTCAGTGAGGCGACAGGGGCGGCACTCAGCTTACCCTCCAGCACCGTCACCGTGCCGCGGACTTTGCACCAGCTGCGCCTGCATCATGGCTGCGGCCGTGTCGAGGGCGGCAGGGTTCAGCTCGATGTGTGGTCCAGCGCGAAAGCCAGGAGGACCATCTCCCGCTGAAAGACGATCACCAACAAGTTGTGCGCGATGCTCTTTTCCACGAGGCTCATCAGCAAAGGGCTCAGGCTGTCGATAACCATCCCCATCACGCTCGCAGCCACTGCCGGCAACACACAGCCGCAATAGCGGCGAGATCCGCTGGAGTCAGGTTCAGCACGCTGGACGTTCGACAGTCTCCTTCATCTCGCCGAGGGTCTTTGCGCGGAAGCGCAGCCGCAGACCATTGGTCGCTCGCACCAGAATGCTATGGATCAGCGTCACGTTGAAGAGGAGGAGGAGGAGGAGGCGAACATCAGAAATATCGGCACGAAATTCATCATCATCCCCAGCGTCATCCAGAAGACCCGCACGATCCGCAGCATCATCAAGGGTATCTTGAGCGCTTCAAAAAGGAGGGTCGGCACTACCATCAGCACCTCCAGCTTCGTCTCGAAGACCGCATCGAACAGCGGCAGGTCGCAGGCCAGCGGGACCAGCAGCAGGAGGATCGTCATCATAAGAGCCATCTCCTCGACCACCACCGGGACCACCAGCAGCGCCACCATCTGGCAAGTGGCGGCCAGGAGCAGGACGAAGATGGAAGGATACGTGCGAGCTCTTATGGTCCTAACCCACCACGACCATCTGGAAGATGTAAGCCAAAACTCCAGACAGCAGCACGACCACCAAGTCGTTGCGTATCCCGAGCACGCGCAGCGGGAGCAGCTTGAGGCCAGCGACCACCTTGCCCGCGTGCGTGGAGACAGTCATCCGCGCCTGTCTCCCGCAGGGCCAGCTGGTGCAGGGTCCAATCCCGACGCGCAGCGGACACCATGCTGCACGGACGCCACCGAGGGCAGAGGGGCGAGAGGGGGGAGGCAAGTGCCCCCCCGGCGACCGCCACGGCGCCAGTGCAGCTGAAACGGCTCAGGAGAAAGGAAGAGGAGGAGAAGGAGGAGGTGCAGGAGCAGGAATAGGAGGAGGATGAGGAGGAGGAGGAGGAGGAGGAGGAGGAGGAGGAGGAGGATGGGGAAGGAGAGGAGGGAGGCTGAGGAGGAGGAGGAGAGGAGGTAGGAGGATGCGAGGAGGAGGGGAGAAAGAGGAGGAGGAGGAGGGGGAGGAGGAGGAGGAGGAGGAGGAGGAGGAGGAGAGGATGGAAATAGGAGGAGGGAGGAGGAGGAGGAGGAGGAGGAGGAGGAGGAGGAGGAGGAGGAGGAGGAGGAGGAGAGTAGGAGGAGAAGAGGGGGGGGATGAGGAGG